CTAAAATCCTTACCTGCTTCAGTCGATCCAATTCTGATTCTAGTTCTTGTTTAGATGCTTTTTGTACAGCTATTTGGTCTTGCAGATCTTGTAACTGTTCTCTTGCTGATTCTGCTTCATTAACCTGCTGAGTCTCTACATCCTAAAAAGAAGAATCTAACATGTAAAAGCAATAATTAACCATTCAGTTCAACATCTACTGAGCAACCACTATGTGCCATGAACTGAGCTCAGCAGGCATGGAGCAATGAAGATGATTGAGTCATGGTTTCAGTCTATAAGGAATATATAACTTCACCATTATATACTACAGCTAACAGTGAGCGGAATGAGCAGGATGCTACAACTGCCGCAGCACATAAGCCATCTGATTTCATGGCTACGAGTATACCGTGGCTCATTAGTAGACTTATGTTTCTATTCAAAAGCTAACAATTTCAAAAAGAACAGAAATATAACACTAAAAAGGACTTCACTGCATTAGTCCCCTGAAATTGCAGGTATAATTAGGTTTTTGTGTGCATGTGTGTCCCAGTAATCAACATATGGTAAGACTGTAACTTTTTCCCATATGAACTGAGGTTAGCATATAATTTTCTTCTTTTAGCTTTATTATTATTACCAATTTTTACATTTTCCCATATTTCTTACTCTCACTTCTTCAAACTAAAAAGACACCTGCTGTACTTCCTGTCAAATATCCTAGTGGCAAAGAACATAGCTCCAGGTTTCTGTATTTTCCCTATATGTGTTAAGCATGAGTCTATTCATATGCACTATAGGAGATTAAAACTGACATCTTAATTTTGCTTGTTATCTTGTGGTACATTCTGTTTTATACTCTGGAATGTCAAACATTGTTTGAAAGAATTCAGATTAACAACACTCCCAGATAATCACAATGCAATTGTCTAAACTTACACAACTTTTTGGATTCAGAGGAAAAAAAACAATAACTACAATTATTTTTCCTTACCTTTGAGCTTTCAGGGTTAGTAGAAGGTAGATTAATCTTTGTCACTAATTTGACTATATCAGTATGGACTGTGGTTAAAAACACATGTTCTGGAGTTAGACTAGGGTTCTAATCCTGGCTCTGCCACTTTACCAGACTTACAGCAAGTTACTTTCCTTCTCTATGCCTAAATTTCTTCAACTATAAAATGAGAATACCATCATCTCCCTTACAGGGTTACAGTAAAAAATAAATGTAAGGCTATATGTTAAGTGCTTGGTGCAGTATCTAGAACTTAAGTGCTTAGTAAATGATAGCTATTGTAATTATTAACAATTTGTCCATTTTGCTAGACCTAATAAATACTTTTTATTATAGTTTTCATAAACTTTTGAGAAAGGGTAAGAAAAT